TAGAAAGAAAAAACCATTGAAACAATATTTAATTGATGAATACGCTGTTAAAGCGCTCGTAAAATACTTACGTTTTACAAACTCGTCTTAAAAACAAACAATTTCTTTAAAACTTTTTCATTCATATTTCACGGCTACAGCTATCCGTACGCTAAAACATTTTCTTTACGATATTAACTGAGCTAATGCACATTATTTTAATATTGAAAACCTCCTATATCACTTGTTACAAAATAAAAATATTTGGTAATAAATTCTAAATGAAGTTATTCGTTTGTTCGTTGCGATTGTGTAGATTATAAAATTTAGAAGTGCTGGAAGTGGCAGTCACCAAGCATTCACATACAATTACATTATTTCCTCAGATATAGGCCTCTTTCTTTACTTGGTATAATCATTGTGTTATTTAATTTTGAATTTGGCAAGATGTTCCGCATAATTAAAATTTTTTGCTTTGTTATCGTTTTTACTAACTTAATTTTTTTTTGTTAATTAGTTAATAGGATAGCGCGATCGATTTTGAATCGATTGTTGTCATGTTTAACCGATTAATTTTTCAAACATCAACTCAACTAAAATTGATGACTTGCAGATCAGATCACAGAGTTGCTTCGCACCTCTGATGTAGATAAGTCGACGGACTTGCATATGATATGAGTATGAGATCTAAAGCAAGCCGCGAGCGCATGATTGATCTCGACTTCGAACTGCGCCTTCTTAAACCTTGTTGATCCGCAAGCTACCAATTAAGATGTTGAGAAGAAACACAACGATTCAACCCTGCGTGGTTCGAACTACTGAGCCGGTTTTTAAACCGGTCGTTTTTCACACGTCTACATCACTATTTGACATTTACAAACACTTGTGTCAATTTTCTGTAATCATTTTATCAATACTGTCAGCCGTTTGCTTCTTCTGGGAAAGCGAATGTATTATTGTTTATTTTATACGTGGTAAATGCAAAAGCGTTTTTTTATTACGTGGGTTAGTGCGATGTGTGTTTGAGTATCAGCAAATATTATTGAACATGGCTACCTTAATTCAATCATACGAACAACAATATTCGGTCCTTACAGCGGATGTCACAGCAAAAATTGGTCGACTTAAAGTCGGAAATGAAGGTAAGTTGTTTATTGACTAAGAAGCTATAAGTTTACGACTTTTCTGATTTTAAGTAATTTCAATTAAATGAAGCTATAACTCGTTAAATTCTTTGTGCTTGGATACTTTGGATTTTCTCCAGTGACTTTTATGTATTGATTGAATAAATAATTACATATTTTTGGTGTGAAATGTCATCTGAAATGTAAAATATCCCTTACTTTGCCAAATGCTTTCGGCCAATTTTCTCCATCTTTTTTTCCTTCTAAAAGTAGGTAGGGAAAGGGACGAGTCCAAGTTCGATTTACCGCAAGCACACTCATCAGATGAAACGCAGAATTACTTCCACTTCATGCCTGTCTTTGTGAAGTTATGGGATTTCACCAGGAAGGCCGGTCCACTCGTACCACACTGATATCATGTGTTGTTAAAGGCACTATCATTATTTATGAATGATATATACTTAAGTAAATTTATGATTGTAGAGAACCGTGAGCAATTATCACGGGAAATACAAGCAAACTTTGAAGAAGCCAATGACTTGGTAAGTTTCCTTACTATTGTTAAAATTACAGTAGATTAAGTCTACAAATTGTTCCATTTATTTATACACTTTGGCGTTTCACTGATCTGAAAATGGTCAAAAGTAAAGAAAGTGATAAGAATGCATCAGAACTCTTGCCAACGTATATGAAATCTCAATACACCTGATAAGTACTTATTTATTGTTGAAGTTGGAGCAGCTAGAGTTGGAGTACAGAGGCGCGGGCGCAGGATCTCGTGTTGCGGCCTACCGCGCTGAGCTGCAACGGGTGAAAGATGAATACCGCTCAGTGCTTAGTAACTCAGCCACATGTATGTAAAACTGTTAATTTTAATTCCACATGAATTATTCAACAAGCAACTGCCAAAGACATAATACATACATTAAAGTTGTCTAGTTAGTTTGGTAAAATAATATGATTTTTATCTATCCATTTAATGACCAATCTGTACTGCCTCAATGCCATTGAACAGAGCTTACAATGTATTTTACATCTATCTTTTATATAAGAACGATTTTTTTCTTTTATTTTAATAAATACTCTTCATATAGCAATACAGATTTAATAAAAGTATTATACCATAGACAATATAGAAACGGAAGACACTTACGATGACTGGAATGTAAATGAGCAGCGTCAGAAGCTGTTAGACAACACAGAGCGTCTGGAGCGCTCAGGTAAGAACCTGAACGAGGGCTACCGGGTGATCCTGGAGACGGAGGAGATCGGCGCCGCGGTGCTGCAGGATCTCAGCGTGCAGCGGGAGACCATACAGAGATCTAGAGGACGGGTAAGCCTATTATGTATTCAATATTCTTAATATTACGATTTCCTATCAAGGAAACTGATAGAAGTACGAGGAAGCCATGGATTACGCAACTTTTCGATTAGTGATTATTTTGCCTGAGTGCAAAACATGGGTTATTCCATTCAATTTGCCAAAGAATGCAAACCTCAAATTAGTTATTTTTATCAAACCTTATTATCATCATCACCACATCCTTTAAACATTATGAATTCCTTAACAATAGAAATACATTAAAAAATTATGTTAGACATTGTATCAACATAATCATTATCTTTTACTTTTATTTTACATTTTTCAACTTATAAGATAACTTATATTCTCCATAATGTTATATTAGATAAAAATATCGAGGAACTAACTGTCGCTTGCGACTCCGTCCGCGTGAAATTAAGATAAACTTAGTAGATTACTTAGTAGCCTATGTGTTCATCCAGACTATTTTCTACATCTATGCCAAATTTCAGCAAGATCCATGCAGCCGTTCTGGAGATACCTTCAAACAAACATCCATCCATCTAAACATTCGCTTTTATAACATTAGTAAGATTTTAAAGAGTTATAGATACAAAAATATATTTCAGTTGCGTGAAACAGACGAGCAGTTGAACAGATCAACTCGTTTAATGAATTCAATGATAGTGCGCGCGCTGCAAGACAGGTTCGCACTGGTCATGGTCCTCCTGATCACTGGTGCGCTGCTCTGTGCCGCACTCTACTTCTACGTCACCTAGCGCCTTGTACACGCTGTACAAGTTGTACAATTGCCGTACTACTTGTACATCGCGTGCAAGAGAATACTCTGCCTTGGATTTCGATTGTATATATTGAAACATTTCCTAACAGCTTTCTTATACTGCAAGTATAAATTGTTCAATGGATGCTGTAGGATGTAAGTGTGGACATTTTGACGTGTGGAAACTAAAGTGACGTTTGTAAATAAAACTTGTCAGAATTGTCTATGATATGTGATCGCAATGTCATATGACTTAGGCGGGATTGTGGTTAAAGTTTAATTTTCTTTTCGACTTATAAGTCATAAGAAATAAATTTCATTCTTATATGTATTTTAATGATATATAATTATTAAATATACTTCTAATAATGTGTAATTTGAATCTTGAATAATATAACCTTAACAAAAAGCAAGCAAGATAAATTGTGTGCACCAGTTTCTAATAAAAAACACGTGTAGAACTAAAAACTTGAGTAATCTTGTATTTTTTTTAGAAAATAACGCTATGTATATTAAAGTGTTAATATTATAAGGTTATAAATAATAATTACATTCCAAGTTTATAGTACTCTAAATATGTTAATATTATAAAAAGGAAGAGTTTGGACGATGTTTGGTGCCTTTGTGTACACGTCCCTTATAACTGACGTGGTTAGGAAATGTGGAAAATGGCACGTAATTTCAATGGTATTGGGACGAAAATGTAAGAATTTTTTAATCTTTGGATATAGATGACCTAAGTATATCCATATAAATTCGCTTACTTATAATCATAGCAAAATGACCTAATTTTCCCTAACCCGAGTTTCTCGCTTTCGGATGTCGTTTGTCGTCACTGGATAATAAATGTAGCTTATAGATGTTTCTTCTTTATCCAGGTTTGACTGTTGTGTGTTGTCTTTTATTCTCTTTGACAAAATAGACTCACAATATGTATTAATAAAAGTGTAAAAACAGATAATCGAGACGAATATCGCGATTCATTTGACTCTCGTTTATCCAGGTCTGACTGTACTTCGCCTTATATGGTAGTGTTATGACTATTTATCATTATATTTAATAAGTCTGCTTTGAATTTCTATAAAATATAGGACAAATATGATGTAATTATTCTACTAATATAAATATAGAGTCTATAATAAATTTTCGTACTTTTTCATCTGTCTGAATATATTAAAAAATCGTCTTAAGAAGTAGTTTGAAAATGTGTTTTAAATGTTAATATTGTAGTGTGCTGTTTATTACTTAGACATAAGAAATTAGAAGTTTGACATAACTATGTTTCACGTTGTTATATTCTGTGTTAACTTTAAAAAAAAATGGATACTCCGATTTTTTTTAAGCAAAATTGGATGATTTTTTATCTATGGACCACTTTATACATCTGTGTTAGATGTTTTTTCGAGGTAAATTGTAAAACTTCGTAGTGATTTAGCAATATATTGTAAATGTTATGTACTTAATTAATTGTTATATTCATAATTTATAGTAAATATGTACATTTTAATGTTTTTCCAACCTTTAAAATTCTCTCGCATATAAAGACTTCACGAAATACGAATATGCACCATGTCTTTAGTATTTTAAAATGTCACTTCATACCGTAGTTCACTATATATGTTTTTTCAAATATTAAATGACGACATTAAGAAAAGTAATCAATAAATTTAGCAGGGATCTCAAACATTTAAATTGTTATTATATAATACTATTGTCGAAAAATTTAAAAACCGAAACGAAACGAATCAAATTATACCATACCTCAAGTCCAAGGCCTAAACTACGTGACTTATTGAAAATCATTGTCAGTTCTATACATTTTTGAAGTTCGTTATGAAATAGGTTTAGAGCGAATGCACTTTGTCTAGCCCCACAGATCACTATTGTGTTACAAACGGTAATATGCTTCGCGCGTATGTTACGTACGCGCAAATTACCGTTTAAATTTTGAGATCCTTGTTTTAGAGCATAAAATGTTTTTAATGTATTTGATGTTGAGACTGTTTAGCTAGATAGTTGAGGTAGAAGTTGGTTTATTGAGGCTTCAATGGACAAATAAATTATGTGATTCATTCCTGGTTTTTATTTATAATTACCTACTTATTTTTTTATGTAATTTAAAGTTGCATACGCACAGAAAAGGATTCCCTTTTGCTAAATCCACTTTCCACTCTTTTCTTATAAGGTAATGTTGGCTGGGGACGGGAACTAAAATGCTGTCTCTGACTCTCATCAGACTATGTGGGAATGCTTCCACTTGACACTTGTCTTCTGTGTGGTTATGGTATTTCACCGGGTAAGTAAGCAAATTCGTTAACAGATGCTGACTTAAAAATTCCCTTTTCATAAAAATAACCATATTTTTGTTCGAGTTAAATAAAAATCAATTATAAAACGATTTATATATTATTTTTTATATAACACACAAATTAGCAAAAACAGTCAAACAAATTAGGCATTATTTTGAAAAATTAATAAAATTAGAATCAGACATTTAATTTTGACAAAATAATTTTATAACACGCATGAAAAATAATGAATTAGCAAATCATTATTGCAGCGATTTTAATAAACATATTTACATTCAATAATACAATTCCTATTTACTTTAACTGCGATTCCACTGCACTTGTTTCGACAAATATCGTCATCTTTTCATTCTCTTAAAAAAACAACGTGTCAATGCAGTGAAAACGCACAGTTACACACAACAGCTTTAAGACACGGAATTACAGATAGACTATTAGAAAAGTACAAAACATTGTATAGTTATATTGGAAATGTGTATAGTCAAACAAGGATATCTGTACCGGTGAAAGCGCTACTATCGCGATTGGTTCTTTCAGAATATGTATAAAACCTACTTAGACATAGAAAACGATAAAGAAAAAAAAAGAAATGACAGTGACAGTACAAAGAGCATTATGACATTCATTGACATTGACAGAGGGGCGCTAGTGAGCTGTCATAATTTAGTTTGACGTATGCCCACTGGTTCAGATAGCTTTGTCGGTCTATATATGAAGACATCATTCTCTTACTTTTTTTTTTGAAAAATATAGAAAAAAAGTGGAATTTGACAGTGACAATTGTTTATAAGATTTGATTGATGGAATGAACTATAAACTGATTCAATCCTGCCATAAATAACAATCATAATATAATACATAAATGATTTATATATCAGTTGTGATTTACATACATATTATTAAGTGGTTGTTGATCTACAGAAAAAAAATTACCGATAAATTCCCTCCCCTGTCCAATCTACTTCCTCTTCCCATCTTTTTACTTATAAGGAAAGGGTGGAAAAGGGAAGAGGATTAGTTTGTCCCTCCTGCAACAATGATCACAATATACATACAAAATTAGTGTTACTACGTGAGGTTTGACTCTTGGACCTCCGTGTTGTCATCTTCAACCTTTTCTCCTAACGACACTAAGCGCGATTTGTAGTCATTCACTTTCAAATCCTGAAAAAAAAAAGTAAATTATTACTTAACAATCTGTTTAGTAAGTGGTGGCTATCTTAGGTTTATTTATAATGTTCTTTATTCTATCAGTCAAATTCATTTGATACCCATAGGGAGGTTGCATTTTACACTTACCAAATCCGAGAGCAATATTAAGAGATCATCCTGGTCGTTCTTCAACTTCTCTAACTCTACTTCTTGCTTTTGCTTCTCTTCTTGCGTAGTTTTAAGTATTTCGTTCAGTCTGTTTATTTCTGCGGTGAGTTGGTTTATTTTCGCTTCGTATTGTGACTTGTCGTGAGCTTCGATGCTGTGGCCATGTGCCGCGGAAACTTGCGCTTTTAGTAACGTGTTCTCGTCTTTTAGAAGAGAATTTGATGATTTTGAATCATTTAACGCCACCTGAAAAGGTATATAGTATATTGAAATTAATTTAAATTCTTATAATCTTGTTATATTTATGTAATTAAATCAAATTATTATTTAATTTAAGGAGTAACCACTGGAATATAGTTTTTAAGTGGTCTCGGAAGGTGATTAGTGTAAATGACCTGGAGGGCGTGATTCTGTTGCAGCATGTCATCCAGCTGCGCCACCAGCTCCTGCAGGCGCGCGTCCTGCTGCCGGATCAGCGCCTTGTACTGCTCCAGCGCCGCGCCCCCCCCACCCTGCCCCGCACCCGTCTCCTCGCCCCCACCCCCACCCCCACCCGCTTCCTCTCCGCCACTCTCCTCCTTCACCATCAGGCTCTGGATGAGGACACCTGCAACATTACGCACGAACATCAACATTTATTATAAAATTCGAGACTTACGAATGAATTGATCAAGCTGATTGTCTTCGGCTTGGATTATGGCTTATAATAAGCAAAATAAATGAACTTACTTTCCAAAACTTTAAACAGCCTGCAGAACTCGTAGTCAATGAGCACCTCAGCGGGGGCCTTCGCCCTCAGCTGCGGGTGCTTCGCCGCCTTGTTGTACAGCTCGTGTCGGGAGACCTCGCTCAGTTTGGCCACGAATGTCTCCATGCCGACGCGACGCACCACCAGCTGCTTCAGCGACTCTCTGCTGTAGTTCTCCACTGAGTCGTCGTTGAAGTGGATGCAGATCGCTAGCAGGAACGCTGATAGACCTGAACGATAGTTTGGAGTTTTTTTTATTTATATTTATTACACTTGAAGTCATAGACTTCTGCATATGCAGGTGCTTTGAGTTACTTTTGAGATGCACAGAAAAACTATTTTTCCTGTCACCGCGTCCCCTCTTCCATTATGTGTATGATTTTTTTTTCTATGTTTGATATAACATATGTACATACACTATAATTTTATATGTAAAGAAGTATTGATAAAAGTTCTGGTCCTTCGAGCCGGACAAACTATGGCATGTTACAGTAGTTTCGAGGGAGTCAATTAAGCGAGGTGACCTTGCAGCAAGTATTCGTTGTCGTCGTGATCATTGGAGCAGGTCTGGTTGACGAGGTAGGCGACAGCTGAGGGTGCGCGCAGGAAGGCGGTCACTGCGCCCGCGCACCGCGCCGTCCACTGACTCAGCAACATCAGCAGCGCCACCTCACAAACACATACAACTCACATATAACACGCGCTACATACACATCAATATATTATTTTCTACAGTTAAATATAAAAGCTAGTGTTAAATTATTATTGTCAAACCATTCACTGGAAAAGTGGCTCATTCAATGGAGAAACAACGTAAGTACAAAACGAAAATAACTTTGCAATGTCATCAATTTAAGTCTAGAATAATCTATGACATTAATTTACTGTCAGTAGTAAAGTAACATGCATAAATATTTAATAAAAAATGACAGAATGATGGGGAACATTATATTCTCAAGTTCAAACTTTCAAAAAGTTCTCTTTAAAAAATAGCTACGACTTAATTACATCATTGTTCATTTTGTTTGTAGTAAAAAAACAAATATGTAAAGGGCAATTAAAAGAAATCCCCAGATATAAAGTTAAATAAAAACATTAGTTAAAAACTCACCTTAGATTGTAACTTTGTTGTTTGTTGCAACAACAAGGTACACTGATGTAACAATGAGACGGGAGAACTTCCAATATTAGTCGCCAACAACACTCGTAATAGTTGTTCCTTTTGTATTGGATTGTCAATCAATGCATGCATCAGAGCCACCGCTGAGAACCAGTTTGATAACACATCTGAAGAGAAGAGACCTCCGCAGAGTAACTGTCCACTTGTCAGGTTTGAGACATCAGTGGAAGATGGTAGAAGTGTCTGGACTAGATTTGCTTGACTCATCTCATTGTGATATAGATAACATTGGAAACAGTATAAAACTGCGCATCTGTAAAATTTAAAAGTGGTAAAATGTCAAGGATTGATGGCCCCATTAATTATAATAGTATCTAATAACTGTGCCATTTTGTGCTAGCACAATATCTTATTTTTTAATCTGTGTTTTTTCATGTTACTTTTATTTAAATTGTCTATTGTTTATTGATTTAACATAGGGTAAATTTTCTTGCATTGAAAACCAATAAATTAACTAAAAAAATTCTTGTTTAATAAAATTATATCTATAATAGTCTTAATTCGACCAAAATCATTCTTAAAATCATCATCTTTGAGTGAAGAAAAATTTATGTCTTACCTTAAAGAAAATGGTTGCTTCTCGTTAACCATAGACATAAGTAATACTACGATAGCAGGTCGCGGCGGGTTTGAAGGTGCCATCACATTGCCCACAAACTCTTGATTACCAACATTACCTCTCACCACTTCACCGACAGTATTTATTGTTTCCGTCAATATATCAGCTGGTACACCACTCGCCATCAATATATTACACAAGGAGTCCAACAAACCAGCATTCTTTAAAATCCTTTGACAATCAGAGACAATCTGTACGGAGTTACACGGTGATACCAATGTACGGACAATATGCAGCATGCAGTGGACATTTGATACTTTCTGCGGTGACCAACCTGCATCCTCATTCTCTTCAGGTGTGTTAAACATCGGCAGCATCCTCTGTATATAACTACCTTCTTTGAAGAAATTAATATTACTACTGTTATTCTTCAATAAATTCAACATAAGCAGTAAACAATCTTCAACAATAATTCCACCATCGGAAAATCCTTCACTTGATACTATTTCGAATAATCTGTCAAAAGCGTTTTCAAATGCGACAATCTTTTGTATATTTGCATTTCCTTTTGTTAGCTTTATTAAAAGTAGTAATGTTTCATTTCGTATAACTTCTCTGTTATCACTCAAAAGATCCATCATTTTAGAAACACCCATAGGTTTAACGAGGATGATTTCTTGCATATCTTTCGGTCTATTTGTTAACAAAGAGGTTAGCAACTGTACTGCTGATAGTCTCACTCTGAAGTCATATTCGTCTAGCAAATCTAGGATTAGTTGAACATTGTTATGATCTTTTATAAACATTTCGGTAAACTGCTCTCCGATGTTCATAGGCACTTGTGGATTTTCCTCTTCTTCTTCAAATTGTGATGGTGACATTACATTGTTTAAAGTATTTAGTGCATGGTTAATGGTTTCACTATCAGCACGATCCAATTCTAAAACCTAGAAAAAAAATTACATACTGTAATAATACCATATAACTTTTAATTTGCAAGAGCATTAAGAACGCATAATGCTATGAAATGAAGAAATTAATTTAATAGAAGTTTCTAACAAGTTAAAGTAATCTAGGAAGCATTTTCTTTCTTATAACTTTATTAATATTTAATAATTCAACTATTGCATTTTATTCTATCTTTATTCTTGTTGTCATTTTATTAAATTTTAAATGAATGTTCACCTGCTTCAATGTGTCCATTCCTTGAGCTCCCACTTCTACTCTGTATGTCCTGGACATAGCTTTCAATGCTCTGCAAGCATCTCTACGATCTTCTAATAGTGTAGAATTGTTAACTCGCTCCACCAAACGCTCCACCTGGAGCCATATAAAATTATTTTAAGACAAGAAGATTTTAAAACATGGTAATAACTATAATATGTAAAAACAATTATCTTGCCAATACAATAGGATATTAGTTAGTTTGTTACACATAATAATATTTCTAAATTTAAACTTTTAACAACAACTTAATATATTATTTCTTTGCTAAAATATGACAGAATTATGTTAATAATGATTATATTAAGCAATGATTTATTGTTTCTGTGTAAACTAAAATTGGATATCTTTAAGTTTTTAACACATGAGAAAATCGTAAATATTGTCATACGTGTAAACGGTGATAACACATATTAAAAGTCTAGTTTGGACCACGCCTACACGAATGTTAAAAATATCATTTTATACCACTGTCGTCAATTATAAATAGTTTCTGTAAAGATTATTCCACTAAAATATATAGGAATGGTACCGTTTCAGCGCCTGAAGGATGATGACCAGGTTCCGGTGCACCTAGAACGGTCTTCAGACCGCTCTTCAAAAAATCCATTCTGTCTGAAGTCCTTAATAATTTCCCTCTATGTTATTATATTTTATTAATTAGAAAATCATTACTATTTTGTACAAAATTTAAGAAATCACAAGAGGGAGAGACACGTCAAACCCACCAATTTTAAGATTTGACTTTGACAGAAACAAAGACTATAAAATAGTTTTGCTTTTTACAAAATAAAAAACCACAAAAAAACGATACTGTAAAGCCCTAGCCAAGCCAAAAAGTTGATCGAAGAGTATAACTTTGGTTCGGTGTCTATAAAAATGTTGGCTTTTAGTTTTTCCTTGAATAATTCGACTTAAAACGAAAAAAAACTTTTTATTTTATATACTGTTTGTTTCTTCAGTTAAAATTTATTTCGTCTGTTATTGTGTTTGCTGGCAAAATGTCATGTCTGTCTCTGTCATTTCAAACAATACACTTTTGTCTGTTTATAAATATTAATTATACGGAAATTAACTATTAATCATAATGTCGACTGATCTAAGTGCAAGTTTCGACGAGCAGTATGTGAATATAAATACGAAGTTAAAAAAGTAGGTGTTTTCTGTCGATTCGTTATTTCCAATACGGTAGTTTTATTAGTAATTGATGAAATTATGTTTTAGGCGGTTTATGCGTAAACCAAATGTCTCTGAAGCGACCAATGAGTTTATAGGATTAGCAATACAATGTGAACACTCGGAACAGCCTTCATTTGCTGGCCAGACGTACATTGGAGCAGCAAAGTGTGAGGCTTTAGCTGGAAATCATTTGGGAGAAGCGGAACAATATCTTGCCGCAGCCCGACAGTTTATTAAAGCTGAGGCTAAATTATTGGCATTGAAGTTTCATAGCCCAGATAGAGAGAATTTAGAGGTAGACATTTTGTCTCAGTAAATTACCTATCATCATAAGTACAATTTTTACGTCTATAAATTACATAATTCCAGGCAGCAATTGGTTGCTACCTGCAAGCACTAAGCAAGTATCCAGACAAGTCACCAATACGCACCTCAATATTAATGGAGCTGGCCAACAACCTGGTCTCTTTGAATCATAAACTGGAAGCAGTGACATATTATGAAGAGGCTTTGGAGACTGTAAATGACAGTACTATGAAACTGATGTATATGAGAAATCTGCTCAACTTGCTTATTGATTGTGGTATGCTGATATTAATCTATTATTTATTTATTACACCATTAGCTGTAATAGAAGTCTCATTAATTCAAATCACAACAATTTTTGATGACATATTTTTATAAATGTACTATTAGTGAAAAAGGACAGTACTAATATCATTTTCTCATCTTTCCAGGTAAATATGATAATGCTTTGCAATTAGCCAACACAATATTTGATTCTAATATGCATATACCTGATGGAATTTTAACTGAGTAAGTTTTGAATGTCCTCACTAAGCACATAGTTTTTTAACATTTTTTAAAAAATAATATAACAATTATTTTTATACACAGAATTCAAGTGAGCCGAGTATTGTTAACTTTACTTGTGAAACCTGATGAAGGAGATAAAATTGATTCACTCAAACAACTGTTTGATGACCTGATGAATGATACTGAATGTGAAGGTATGGTTTTTCAGATGTAATTGTAATTAATTCTAGCAGCCTACCAACTGTCTAACTGTGGGTTTCTGAGACCAACATCTCTATATAAAACATTGTCATCCCTATCATTATCTTTATAGATAGGATAGGATTATAAAATAGGAATAGAAATATTTTTAAATGGAGATAGTCTCAGAAATCCATAGTAAATTGGATTGGTATTTTGTATCCTACTTTTAAGAAGTTAATAGTTTTCACAGGTATGTTGATACACTGTTTGTGGTGGATCCAATTTAAAAATCAAATTTTTAAAAGTAGAGTATAATTTTATTCATATTTCACCCAGCATATTGATAGGCTGTAGTCTAATCCTGTCTACTTTTTTATTAATTGCTAAAAATACTAAACTTATGTATTTTTTGTTCTAGCAATACCATTCAACATAGACTTGAAGCTCAAACTACAGTCTATAATTATCTGCAGCACTGTTGGGGATCTCCAATCACTGATTAGTGTGGCTCCAGATACTAAGCCATATTTGACATCACATCAGGCAGACTTGTTACATGCATTGTACACAGAACAGAAAGATTATAATTTTGTTCACAGCTGAATATATATATTAATATTATTCTATGGATCTCATTTATTGTATGGTTTAGTTTGGTAGAAGAAAATAAACTTTGTCTCAAGGTTTTTATGGTATGTTTGTATAATTCAAAAATTTATGTTTCATCATTAATAATAAACCAAATTATCAATATGCAAACTGCACTTTATTAACTCTGGTTAACAATTTTTTTTGTTTTTTTCTAGCATACTCCATGAAAGAATTTCCTCGCCATAAACCATATTTATGTCGCAATAAAATTGAAATGGTATATGAATAATTTTATAAAGTTTAAGACTTTTTATCAATAAAACCACTACTTATATCCCCAACCTTTTTAGGTATGGCAACATCTATGACATTGCCAAAACTGACTTTCTTGTCAACAATTGTTTGTGAGGTGCTTTCTGGTACTAGCACTTCATTGCCAAAGTTAGCCGCTACATCAACAGATTTATTCTGAATAGAGTGTGTCCACATTTCCTCAAACTCATCTTCATCACTGTCCACAATATCTTCCTTAGGCTTTACTTCACTAGTTTTTTGCCAGCAATATTCAAATGGATAGCTCACATTTCTATTATCGTCTGGAGCAATCTCAAAGCGTGAAGACATGGCATTGTATGTTGTATGCACTCCCTCTAACAAATTAACATCCACTTCATCAAATCCTGTTATGCTTTTAAAGAGTTCGTCAGCGGACTTAATGTTTGGTACACCTTTTTTCTCAAAGAACTAAAAAAACAAATAAAAAATATTAGTATTTTAACCCTTATGTTCATTTTGTATAGTATACCATACATACAACTTTATAAAAATATACAATCACTATAAAATAATTTTTAACTTAGTTTTTTTTAAACTATGTTTTTGCTTTTTTTCAAAAAAGAAATCTTGTTTCAATAAGGGTTAACAATAATAGTGTTTAGACTTAACGGTTATTCTGTCGTAAAATAATATATAAAATCTATGATTTTTTAATTCTTACATATAGATAAAAATACTTACATTAATAATATTCCTGCAATCTCTCAATAAGAACTCTAGGCCATTAGGATGATCAGGTTGCACCGATTGGGAAACATCAATAAACCAGCATTTGTTCTCCCACCAGAGAATGTTGTATTCAGATAAATCGGCATGAACAAGATGCCCCACATTATAAAGCTTGTGCATAGCATCTACAATCTCATTGTACACACTTTCCCATTTCTCAGGCTTCAATATAACATCCCTCAGCTTTGGGGCAGGCTTGTTGTCTCGCCCAATGAAAGACATCACTAAAATATGCTTCTTCAAACACACCATGTCAGGACAGTTTAAACCAATCTTTTGTATCCGCATCATGTTATGCATTTCCTTCTCAGCCCACATGTGCACAATTTTCCTAGGATTCTGCTTAGAGAAACGATCTTTAAATCTATAGTCAGCTTCAATATATTTGTCTCTAGTTTTAAATTCATTTAGTGTAGTCTTGAATACCTTTATTGCACATTCTTTAGGAACAACCAAGTCTGGGAATGATTGGTCTCCATTTGCGTGCAACACCACAGATTCTTTGCCAGTAGATATAACTCCATTAATATCTTCCAACATCCCATTGTTGATCATCTTAAACAAGATTAGTCTGGTTGGCTCATCCAGACCCATTTCAGCGGTGGCTTGGCTCTCCTTTCTGTCTAGCAGCTTATGTTTCTTCTGATTGCATTTTGTATGCTCTTTAAGTTGATTGAACACAGAGTTTGGTAATTTCATATCAAATCCAGCTCCATCTCCAGTGCACACCTCAGGAGGGAAGGCCATAATACGGCAGGCATTTCTTCTCCCGTTAATAACACTGTCGTGTTTAGTCACCATTTCACCGTCTTTCATAATAAAACCTCTCTTCGGAAGACTTGCGTATTCTTTCTCATTGGTTTCAAAGCGATCCCAATCTTTCTTACCCGCTGGATCGACATCATCGTCCGAATCAGAGTCGTAAACCAAATGATCGGGAATGTTACGGTAATTATTAAAAGATACTGAAACCTTTGCATCCCCGTTTTTCTTCTTTTCCACTCTCTTTACTTCATCATCGTATTCCTTATCGAACTGACATTGCAAGACTTTCGCAATAATTGCGTCCGAGTCGCAATAATCTTTCACGTTACATTCAGCTATATGCTGTAAAATTTCAGGAGATACATCGTTTGATTCGGTAGCGATATGCTGATCCGATACCTGTTCTGCGAATTTTATCTCTTCTTTTACTTGAAGTCCTCTTGCATATTCCTCCGACATAATATCCGAAAGATTCTGTGTGTCAACTGGCGTTTGAACTTTCTTCCAGGGATTCGACATTTTGTATAAAATAAAATATATCACAGTTCGTGTAGTTTTAAACTAATAAATAACTTATTGAATATATAAAAACTTATTTTCTAATGAGAAAAATATTTCACAATATTGCTCGTCAACAGTGATTACTCAATTTATACAAACAGTGCAGTGTTACCAACTTTCAAATATTATTTTCCCCATAAAAAATTACAATCGAAAACATTGGAATCGCCACGATTAAGTATTTAAAATATTATTAAAAAGAAAATTTCTACGTGTTTTATTTAAAAGAAATTTATTTAATTCTTAGTATTATAAAGATTTTATAATTTATTTTTTCCAGTACATATAGAAAATATTTTTTTACTGTTATTGGAGAAATTTGTTGGAGATAGTAACCCTTTCTTACAGAATACCGAAAAAGATAAGAGCACCTTTTCACTGACCGTGAATGGATTTTCGCCATGGGCGGCAATCTCAATTTTTATATGAAAAAAAACTACGTATATTTACTACTCGGTGGTGGTGAACTGAAAGTGAGCAGTTTACCTTAATTATACAATTGTCTATGCGGTTGTTGTGTAATAATTACACTGTTATTTCGACGATTTCGAAAGGGTTCTAATCAGATCACTAAACCTG